AACTTCATATTTTCAAAAAAGTACAACTAATAATAGTAAGTTATAGAAGGCCACAAGATGGTTTACAGAAGTGCATGATTAATAATAAATAAGCAAAAGTAGCTTACAGAAGTTCACAATCGTTACCTAATATAGAAAACAATAACTATTGAAAATGGCTAGTAATAATAAGGTCACAAAATGACTCACAGAAATGCACAACTAATAATAAAAATGCCACAAAGTGACTTACATAAGTTTATAACCGTTACTTAATACAAATAAATATTGAAAAAGTGAACAGCTAATAGTAACAAGGCAACAAAATGGCTTATAGAAGTGCGCGAGTAATAATAAAAATGCAACAAAATGGCTTACAAATGTTCACAACCATTAACTAACACACCTACACTTTTCAAAACAAAATGTGGTCGTTTTCAAAACTCACTAAATTTTAGCTACATTTAAGTTTTAGTATGAGTTTAAAGCCATAATTTTTTTTTAATAATCTAGCAAAATGCGTGACAACTTCATATTTTCAAAAAAGTACAACTAATAATAGTAAGTTATAGAAGGTCACAAGATGGTTTATAGAAGTGCATGATTAATAATAAATAAGCAAAAGTAGCTTATAGAAGTTCACAATCGTTACCTAACATAGAAAATAATAAATGTTGAAAATGACTAGTAATAATAAGGCCACAAAATGACTCACAGAAATACACAACTAATAATAACAATACCACAAAGTGACTTACATAAGTTTATAACCGTTACCTAACACAAATAAATATTGAAAAAGTGCACAGGTAATAGTAACAAGGCAACAAAATAGCTTACAGAAGTGCGCGACTAATAATAAAAATGCAACAAAATGGCTTACAGAAATTCACAACCATTAACTAACACACCTACACTTTTAAAAACAAAATGTGACCGTTTTCAAAACTTAACTAAGTCTAACATATATTCGTTCCTGAAATCAATGGTTGTGGCCAAATTTACAATGATAAAAGTTGACAAATAATAATCAAATATAGAAATAAGGCTAGCTTTGTATTCATATGGCAATTATTTTGACTTTTAATATTGGAACGTTAATTTTCTGGCCAAATATAAATAAACGACCACTGTTACTATAAAACGAAATGAAAAAGTGAGCTAATAACTTGTCCCTTGAAACAAACATACATTAAATGCGGAAAATATTTGTGTCTACCACTTTCCTTGATTGTTGAACTTCAATCCTAAAATAAACACATACACTCCAAGGGCATTCTAGCCTTTTTAACTTGGCTTGCATCCCAAAGTTACTATTTAGAGTAAAATTCTCTATATAAAAAATATATCCAAAAAGGAAATTTTCTCTAAAAAAAGAAAACAAAGGAAATACTAAAAAAACAAAAGAAACAAACTTCTTTCCTGCACAGTCTACACTCCAACTATCCAACATCCTTCCAAGCTTCAAGTATGAGTAGGTAATTGATCCTTAATCCTTGGATTGCAATTTGGAGTCGGTTGGGTTACTTGGCTAGGCCTAGGCTATTCATGTTTCATGAAGAAGAATTGCATTTTTAGTTTTATAGTTTGCCTTGGCTATTTAGCTTGTTGGATACAACTAGGTAATTAAAAATATTTTACTAATCTTTTTTAATAGCTAATGTAATACATTTTTTACTTCAATAATTTTTTTTTTTTGGAAAAAAAAAGACACCTTCCTATATTATAGTGAAATTAACACATGATTCCTATGCTTAGCCACTAACTCAAGCCTCTCTAAATTAACATTTGTCTAAAATTACCACCCTCCGTCTAAATTACCTTTATTTTTCGTCAGTGACAAAATAATGTCCGTATTACCCCTTGATCATTAATAAATTTGCTGTCAATTTACATCCAGTTAATTAACAATAATTAAAAAAGTAAAAAAATAAATAAAAATGAAACAAAAGAGCCGTAGATAGCTAAAAGACAAACATCAAATAGGAAAAAAATCCATCGCTGTGGCCACGATAATCAAGGATTATTTGTTGTTGTTGTAGAGTTGCTAGGGCTTCGTAGAGAAGATTATTGTTTGCTTCACAAACTGGTGCCTAGTACAATTGGAGGTTTTCGTACTGTCTGGCAGACTATCTCGCTTCCTCGAAACCATCCTTTATTGTTTCGGTGATGAGGATGTCATATTTTTTTCAAAAGATTAGAAAGGATCGAATCGAACGAGCTTGCTTTATTTTATTTATTAAAATGGTTCTCTTTATTAAACCCGTTTAATCCTTGGAAAAAGGTTCTCTTGCTTTGATAAGAGTTTATTTTGGAGTTGTTATCCTTATTAGGGAAAATTCTCGAATTAGCGGTGAAGGTGTCAATAGATCTTTTTTTCAATAAGATTAGAAAGGAATCGAAATCGAAACGAATGCTTGCTTTAAAATTTTATTTATTAAAATGGTTCTTCTTTTAATTATAACTCCGTTTAAACTCCTTGAAAAAAGGTTCTTCTTGCTTTGATAAGAGTTTAATTATTTTTTGGAGTTGTTATCCTATTAGGGAAAATTCTCGAATTAAGTCTCATTCTTTTGAAATCGACTAACTGCCAGCTTTTAAAAACCAGAGAATTAGGGTCTGCGGAGTAGGTACGAAATGGAAAGTGGTAGTCACCCATTTGGCACCTGACTAATGCCAGCCTCCTAGTTGTCCATTAATTCACAATAATTTAAATAATGTAGAATTAACTAAAAATGAGATTAAAGCCTTTTATGCATTTTAAGAAACCATAATCACAATACATCATTCAATCTCATCCATACAACATGAAATAAACCATCTAAAGGAAAGAGGAGGTGAGGAGAATAGAATTATACATACTGAACCTAAATTATTATATCATCTAAACTCTTAAAAACCCTCCAAATTTTTTTCCAAAATCCAATCTATCTATTAAAGCAAGATTTAATAGAATCCTTATGGACCCTTTACATTTTGCAATAAATACTTAAAATCAAAAAAGAAAATACAACCCGCACAACAAACATAAAGGAATAGACAAATACTCCCACAAAAGTAATAAATTATTAATAAGATCACAAACACAGATCAAATCATTCCCACAAGCATGCACTACCGATGAATGAAAAATGAGTACAAATTTTAATAAATAATGGGTTAAGCCCATAACAATGAACATTAAACTAAATAAAAAGAAATTATATATATATATGAAAATAATAAAGGTGGTAGTGAAAGTAAAAGACAGATAATATAAATAACAGTAGAATTTAAAGGTTTTTAAAAATTTAAAGGTTTTAACAAGATTTGAGCTTATAATCTTGATGTTCATCCTAGAAGTATGAACAAATCCACCAATCAATGCTCTCAATCATGTTTCATTTGTTTATTTGATCCATATATGACCTAATGCGCATCACAAACCTTTAAAGGTTGGAGCTTGGCCAGAGGATCATTGCATCGATCGGGACATTTATTGGATAAAAAATAAGAGGATTTTGGGCACTTATGGTTTGAGGCACAGGGAAGTGGTGAATGCCATACGTAATGGCACACGCCACTACTATTGGCCTCGGATGTGTCGAAGAAGAGCATTTGTAGGGATAGTGCAACATGATCCCTCACTATCACCTTTCGGATGATGAACAAGAGCAGTGAATCATATGACCCGCAATGGTCGAGTTTATCAGCTGGATCTGATCAAGCCGAGGGAAGAAAATGAGAAAGCAAGCTCATCGGATGTGTCGAAGAAGGAAGTAGAAGATGCTATTAACGCACATCATAAAAAGATTGATACTATAGATAAGTGTAAACAATTATTATTAATAAATTTATTTTAGAACAAATATAATTTTAAAATTTAATAGTGGATAAAATGTTATTATAGCAAATAAATATTTTTATAGCAAATAAATATTTTTTAATAAGCGAAATATAATTTTTTTGGGAAATGATAATTCATTAATAATAAAATCAAGTATTATAAAATACTCAATTGTCCAAACATGACAACTTACTATCATAAATTAATGAGAAAATCACTGATGCTGTCAACAACAAAAAGAATTATCTATATTTTTTTGAATTATAAAACTAAATATAATATTTTTTTGAATAATAAAACTAAAATTAAAAGAAATAATATTAGATTTTTCCGCTTGAAGATAACTTTGACCGATATAAATCTTCATAGAAACAACTGGTCTTTTAATTGATTTGGACGATAAAATAACTTCTCCCGATCTTCTATGCTTGGATTGCTTTTTCCAAAAATTTATTGCGTATGACGTACACAGATGAGTTCAAGCCATTGTGCGTTAACAGCATCAATGAAGGAACATGCCACACTACCAGGGTCCACTGTGCGTTAAATTTTAATTTTAACTAGTTTGGTTTGATTTATAATTTAATAAACCACATTCAAAATAATTTGATTTGATTTTTATTTAATTAAACCATTTAAAACCGAATCAAAATCCCATTAATAATAAATTCCAAACCTGTAACTTAGTTTTTAATGTCATTTCTTATGTTCTTTAAGTATTGAAAGAAATTTGTTTGCTAGTTATATATTTTTTAATGTCATTTCTTAGTTTTTAATGTCATTAGTTACATTTAATTTTATTGTTTTTATAAATGTTACATTTAATTTTATTGTTTTTATAAATTTAAATTGCAGAAATTGATATTTATATGTTATGCTTTATGTTATCAACCAATTGAGCAATTTTTTGCTAGTTATAGATTTTTTCTTATGTTTAATTATAGTTAAAACAATTTATAATTATTTTAATGATATCAAACTGCAAACCGAACTACACCAAACCGTTTTGTTGCGGTTTGATTTGATTTAATTTAATTTTATTGATAAAATGGTTTGATTTGGATTAACAATGTTACCCTCAGTTTTTATTTGATTCCGAAAATTTTTTCAAACCGCACTAAATCAACTCGTGCTCACCCACTACCGCAGCCATCAGAATAAAGCTTTACAAACCGTTAAAAGAAAAAAACATGGTAATATGATAGCACTGCGGTTTTGATTTGTCGTGTACAGTAGAAGGGACAGCCGCTGGCTCGTGATTGCTTCTTTCCTATTTCTTTTCGAGGCAACCAGTAAAACATGATAATTATCATCAGACTTGCATAATAGTAAGATCGGCCTGCAAATATTTCCTGGTTGACGCCTTGACGAGTCTCTTTTACGTCTAAATTATTGGAAATTACTTTTTCTCCGGTTTCTTTTTCTTTCCTTTTCTTTCTTTTGTGCAAAGACTCGGATGTCCTGAGAATCAAACTATTTCTTTTTCCTTTTTTTGGAGGTCTGTAAGCAGAATTCTCTCTTCTTCTCGTTCTTTTTGGGAAAAATAATTCTGGGTTTTGTCTCTTTGTTTAGTGGAAGTTGGGTTTTGATGAAAAAGAAGATATATGTGCATATATTCTGTGTATTGTTTAGCAGCGTATTGTTTAGCAGCAGCATCATCATCATCATCATCTACAAATATTCTCTTGGCTTGTTCCTTTCTCTTTGCTTTAGCAACTTGAATTTCGCTCTTAGTTGGGTTCGCTTTGAACTGTCTTCTGTTGGTTTTAGAGCTGAGCTTAAAGAATTTTCCAAGAATCTGTATTTATTCCAGGAACCAATGTGGTTGAGGGAAATTTTGTGATTCAAGAATTCGGTTTTTGCTAGCTTGTATGTTGAAGTGCTAACTTTTTGTTAAGGAAAGGAATAGTTCGTGTTTTTTGTTGCTTCCATATTAGCTGAGGAGGTGCTTCTTATAGTAGTTGTGTTTTCAAATTACCAGGTGAGGCTCTCTTACTTTTTTGTTTTTTATTGTTTCTCTGCTCCTTCGCTTATATGATTCGTAAGAATAGTAGTTAATAAGATGGATTCAATGAAGTTTTTCATTTTCTTCCAAATGTATGCCTAGGAAACCAATTGGTTGGCCTTAGAAAATTTTAGGAATGCTTAAGATCACTGATGTATAAGTATGCTATTTGGTTAATTGATTATTTTTTATTCAAAAGCGTCTTAAATTATGGCCTATGATCAGTAAGTCTATCTGGATAAATTAAGCCATCTATTTGTTATCTGGATAAATTAAGCCATCTATTTGTGTATGCACTTGTTTACTTGATTGTTGTCGTTGTTGTTGGGACGGGGAAGATAGGGTGGGGGATACACTAATTTGACATATCTATGCAAACATCACCTCATCTTTTCAAACGTTCAATTCTCAAATTTTATTCTGATAGCAACATAATTATGAGTCTTTCAATGATGATTATTTCTACCCTTAAGAATTCTCAACTTGATAAACATAGGCAGTTAGTTCCCCCCCGGGGCATCTTTTTGTTGTCTGGGTCTGTTGTGATTTTCATTTATAAACTAGTATCATAAGTTGTGGAAATCTGAACTCAAATTTTATTGTTAACTGCTAGTGCTGTTGATATTTGCTGCTTATAAGTCAGTGTAGTTATGTGATCTTTCTTTCTTATAATAAATATCTTTTGATTAGTTATATGTTATGCTTTTGTTTAGCTATCCCTTACCTTTTACTTTAATTAATGTGCAGAACCTGCATTCTTCACTTTGAATGGCGGATGAAGGTGATGATGTAGTGGAACCACTGCCATACCTCTTTTCGTTTAAGGTATAGTGTCACAAGTCAATATATTTTGGACTTCTGCAATATCTGACTTCAAATATGCTGTTTAATTGTATTCTGCATTGTTAAAATTTACATGGAATATCTGCAGATCAAACTTTATTAGTTTGCTTTCGTGTTTCTGGCATCTAATTAATGTACTTCCTGAATGAATTAGAGTAGATTGACAATAAAATATGTAACTTAGAGTAGATTGACAATAAAATTATGTTTCCCTTGTTACAGAGGTGATTTGTGGAAGCCAAACATGTCCTTTTAAATGTTTCTTTTTTATGGTGTTGTAAGGATTTTAGTTGTCTACATTTGAACTTATAGTATGAAAAACCTTGTGCCTTGTTGCTTTTTAAACTGTTATCGGCAATGTTTTCCCTTTTTGGCTGCCAAATGAGTGAGTTACAGTGCTGTGACAGAGGCAAGAGGAATGGCCATACTTTGGAGACTGATGAATGAACTGCTTCCTGAAAATGGTTGATGATTTATCTAGTAAAGGAATTTTACATTGCACTTTTTTTTGTTCTTCTGTATTTGTTTTAGCCTTCATTTGATTCAGTGCTGTGACAGAGGAATGTTTTCCTTTTGCTGTTTATGGCATGTTTTCCTTTTGCTGCCAAATGAGTGAGTTACAGTGCTGTGACAGAGGAATGGCCATACTTTGGAGACTGATGAATGAATGAATGAACTGCTTCCTGAAAATGGTTGATGATTTATCTAGTAAAGGAATTTTACATTGCACTTTTTTTTGTTCTTCTGTATTTGTTTTAGCCTTCATTTGATTCAGTTCTATTGTTTTCAAGCTATCTTAATTTTATTCATCTTTGCAGGTGCATTATTTGATGTGCATAGAATTAATGAAATTAGTTGATAGAATTGAAAAACTGTTTCCAGAAATAGAAAAAGCAGCTTGGCCCTGGTTAAAACTGCCCTGGTTAAATGAGACAATTGAGAAAGCCAAGCAGATTCTTCTGTCCTGCTGTGAGTCTAGTAAACTATATATGGTAAGTATTCTGAAATACTTTCAGATAAAGAAAGTATGCTTAAACACTTTCAGATAAAGAAAGTGGATAAAATAAGAAATTCATCATTCATGGATGCATGTGTATGCATATACATTCACAAATTTGTCTGTGTCAGTTATAGAGTTATTAGATGTTAAGATGGATGTTAGATGTAATTTTTATCTTGATGTTTGTTTTATCCTTAAATTTCATAAACAATATGTTTTCAGATGGATTTTCCTTTGTCATATTTTGTCATTGGGAAATTCATGCTCTGAAACATTCAATATTTGTGTAGAAATTGGAATATTAATTTTATTTTTCCATTCCTTTTACTCTCCGGTATCAGCAGTACATTCACTTAATCCATTAATTTGTGGTTGATAGTGCTTCTTGCATCACTTTTAGGTAATAACAGGAGAATTCATAGTTTCAAGATGTCAAGGAATGAGGAACAATTTTGAAGAAAGTTTAGGCGATATCCAAACTGTGGTTCCAACTCCGTCGGCTTCTGAGGTTTGTAAATATACATGCCTTTGGAGTTTTCTTTTTGTTCTCTCTCTCTCTCTCTCTCTTTGTGCCTCTATGTGGATAACAGGCATTCTTCAGTGAGAAAATTGCAGAACCTGTTTGTCTGTAAAAATTCGTTGGTTTTCTTGCCTCAACATGTTTATTTCCTGATGCTAGAATATTTACATCAAACTTATTCAAATGTTGTTTATACCTCGTATCAATAGTAATAAAGCTCTCTCTATGCCCATCATATCTCTCTCTTGGTTTTGGTGATTTGTTTCCCTGAAATGGGGATGCAATTACTGCTGGAATAGTTTTCTGCAACAATCTGATTGGTGATTGCTCAAATTCAGGGTCCAAAGTACACAAAATGGAATCTAATTCCTTCTTTCCAGGTCATCAATATATAATCTACATGTTACTAACAAATGGACCCCCTGAATCCTGTTTATTCCATGTTGCAATTTGCAGCATTCTTTTTGTTGTTTTTGCTAGTTTATCTGTTATTTACTAGTTGAGTATCTAGTTTACAGAAAACAACACCAGCGCCTGTTTTTTTAGATCAGCATCAGCTTAAGTCTATTTTGTAATTTCTCTATCATACTCGTATTCTTGAGCATCAGTTCTTCGGTAAAAAGGATAATTTAACTTTCTTTTGCAGATCTCTCGCATTATTGATGATCTAAATGCAGCAATATTTATGCTGGACTCTTCCGATAATGGACTCTTCCGATAAAGAGGCTGGTAAGGTTATGCGCGAACTGCTTCAGCTGGGCACTTCTCAATCTGATTCAGTGGAATATTCTGAAATAAAAACACTTCAAATTGCTGCTTCAAGACTTCATATAACATCTGCAAGGGCCATACTAATAGAGAAAAGATCAATCAGGAAACTGTTAGATAAAGTTGGTGACAATGATCCTCCCAAACAGAAGGTCTTGAAATACCTTCTGTATCTGCTGAAGAAATATGGAAACTTGATTGTGGAGGAGCAAAAAGAGAATCCTACAGCCTGAAGGATCAGTTGGACCCATGAATTCTCCAAATGTTAATGTTCATAGCCTATCTGGTGAAGCAGGTTTTGATATAGGAGATCAGCAGTTTGAGGCTCAAACTGATTTTCTAGACTGGTTGGAAGTATTTGACTGGTCGGATGTGGGTTCTATGTCCTACGCTAGCTCACTTAGTTCTATGAGTGAAATACACTGTCACGGCCCATATTTGGGGCCTTGACCAGTGTAAGGCTAGGCCTTGTCTAACCGCACAAGCCTACTGTGTGTAACTACTTGAATGAAAATACATAAGGAAATGCTTGAAAATTTTACGTAAGAATGTAGAAATATTTCAACGGTTAATACTCAATGGGGTAGACTTCAACATAACCTGCAAGTGATTAATAGGGAAGCACTGTAGAGTACTATACATCATAACATTTCTTTACATTTTCGCAACAGAATTCCGAACTAACTTGGCATTGCCATTTTGCTCGGGTTTTGGAGATTGGGCTGAAGCCCAATAGATTGAGGGGAGCTCTTATTCAGATCATTCGGCTGATTTTAAATGACTACATTGGGCCTTTTTTTGAGTCTTAGGCACTGTTTGTTTTCAAAAAATAAAATATTTTTTAAGAGAAATATTTTTCTCAAAAAATATTTTTTAAATGATTTATTTTCCTTTATTTGATTGTAATATTGAAAATTAGTTAAAAATATTAAAACTTTTAACTCATAAAATTATAAAAATATTATTAATTTTAACTCATAAAATTATAAAAATATTATTAATAATAGAAATTTCATATTTTAAAAATTTTATTTTTAAATATGAGAAAAACACAGAAAAAGGTAAATTGTGAAAGTCGCCGGTGATCAATGATGGCTAGTGGTGAATAGTGATCGGTGATAGTGCCTACCGATAATTAATAAATTAAAATATACAGATTTATAAGATTATAATAAGTTTATCAACGTTGAAAAATATTTTATTCTCTTAAATACTTTGATATTCCTCTAACTAGGAAAATTATTTCCATTGACATATTTTCCTGAATGCTTTCAAAGAAAGGAAAATTGTAAAAAATATTTTCGTACAAATTATTTTACGAAAACAAGCGAAGTCTTAATACTAGATGCAAGTCTATGTTGGCCCTCCGTAATAACTTGTGTGGTAAACCGTATGCTATTATCATCTCCCAAATCATTAATAACATTTTGATTATTTAAATCATTATTAAAACTTTGATCATTCAAAATTGGAGAACGAGATCCTGCAACACTAATAGTTACTTGATTCTTCATAATGGCTTTCGCGCAACATCAGGAGTATTAAACACATTGACTTCTTTTTGATGTAAATATGTTGATTTTTAGCATATCTTTTCTCGCCTTCCAGAATATCTTTTCCCGCTTTCTTTGCCAACATCTAAGGCCCAAACTTATTCACTATCTCAGTCAAGATAGTCATTGTTGTTTTTTATGGCCGAAAATTGACGTTAATATCACTAGCTAGTTGGAGGAGTATTGTCTTGATGTCTGGTTGAACTCACCTTTGTACTCTATTGAGGCCATTGAAGAACAAACCTCCTTCATATGACCATAGCACCCATAGGAACATAAATTTGATGTATATCTTCATATTCAATCCTTTTAATACACATGGGTAACCTGAATTTGGATAATAATGGTTAGAAAACTCAACCTCCATATAGAGCTTGGTATACTTTCCCCTTGTTGCATCCAAAGTAGTCTTATATACCCGAATGGGAATACTAATCTTCCTAACCTCAATAAGCAGCTCTTAACATAATATTCAATTGAGGTTAGAAATATGTACTTATACCACAACCCTATCAATATTAGTATGTACCGAATCATAATTAGGTTGCCATTAGCAAACAATGAGGTAATGATCAGCCATCATTCAAGGTCCCCCAAAGAGAATATGTTCATACTCAATTTGATTCGAGAATCGTAGCATAAAATATCCATTGACTAAATAAATCATATCAATTGGCGATTTCAAGGCCCTTAAATTCTTAAGTCTCTTGTGAAGGAAGTTAAACCCAATCAAACATCCCAATACTTTAACTATAAAAGTTTGTTTTCAAGGTTGACATAAAACTACCTTCTCCAATTTAGAAACCCGAATGGTAGGACACCCAGGATCATCACCTAAATTAGCTTCTCCTTCAGATTCATCCTTTGAGACATCAGTGTTATCATCCTAATCATCATGATTAGTATCCTTCACCTAAACTCTTGCATCGCTGCATCTCGAATAGAACATTTGCATTTTGCTTCAAAGTTGGGTTCTGCTGAATGATCATCAGTACTGTTCCAGCTACTACATCACCACCTATTCCAGCTACTGCACAAACTTTCGATCCCTCTCCAATTTTAACTCTTTCACTACTTCGAGTACACTAGTTTAAAACCTCGGAAGAGGCCGAGAGTGGGAGAGAAGAGTTCTCCATTTCAAAAGTTAATTTTGATAATAATTAAGATGGGAGAATTGTAAATTGAGAATTATTTGTAAAATTACAAATGAATAATTTAGCTACTTATAGAAAATATAATTTTTTTTTCACTGAAATATTCCTTCAAACTAGTCATTTATAGAGTTAGGAAGGGTATTTTAGGAAAAAAAAATTAATTAACTCTCTCTTTCGACGGTTATAAAATGCTAGTTGGAAGATGGTGTGATTTTTTATTATTATTACTTTTTGGTTTGTTAAAATACCGTTTTTTCGAAAATACCCCTACCACCTCCAACGACATTAAAACCCCGGGATTTTTACCAGACATGCTTAAAGTAGAAAAATTGCATACCAAATAGGAAAGGAAATTACTATCTTCTTATTTGTATTGTTTTAGTATTATTTGCATTGATTTGTCTATAGGTAGAAAAATTGCATAACAAAGTGTTATGATCTGTTGTATTATCAGCGACATGAGTTGGAGAATTCCCTGATCGAGTTCTTCCCATAATCTCAATTTGTTCATAGCTTAAACTAGCAAGAAGGGTTTTTGTTAGTTTTTCATAGTTTTGAAAAATAAAAGAGAAGAGAGAAGAGTTGCTTAGCTAGTAGGACTTTGTCAAAAAAACGAATGGAAACTCACTTTAATTAGTCAATACATAAGAGATTTCTACAAAACATTCCAGCACAGTCATACCTGCTTCCTAAGTAATACAAAATAAAAGATTACAAAAGTACATATAGATAAGAGGAACCATTCCTTTTCAATCAAAAAACAAAATATCCCACAAATTAATCCACAAACTAAGGAGTATTCTAGAAAAATCTTAATCTTTAACAGTTTTAAGCTCTTTGTAACCTCACTTCTTGCCTTTGTTCAGATTATGCAACTAAGAGAGCTAATTCCCTTTGAATAGCCTCTTGAGCTCTTGTTGTGATGCTATTAGTAACCATGGCCAAGGATTATGGGCTCTGATACCAATTGATAAACTCTAAGAATTGAGAATAGAAATAACAGAGAAACAAGAAGAGAGAAGAAGAAGAATCGAGAAAGAATTGAGAAAATCTTATTGAGGATCAATCATGACATAAAACTAATTGCAACAAATTGATTAATGGTATATATCCAACTTAACACCCGTAACCAACTGATTAGCACTTGTAAAAAATTGACTAACAATAATCCAACAAATTAATTGATAATTGTTGATATGCATTTTTATTAAAATGCACCATTTCACTTAATTGCATTACTCTTCCTAAAACACACCGTTTCTTCTTTAATACAACAAACCATAACAACGAGTTCAATTTTTGGTGGTATCTAAATTATTGGATATAACTTTCTCTGTCACTTCCTTTCATTTTCTTCTATATTTTCACATGGAAGACTTTGTTGACTTGAGAATCAACCTATTTTCTCGTCTTTCCTTGTAAATCAAACTTTGTGATTTTATGGACCTGTTTGTTTGAAAGGAACTTTGTGATTAAAGAGTTCGATTTTGGCTAGCCTTGAGGTTGAGGTGCT